TGGAGTTGGTTTGGGACAGCACTCATGATCACAGGGGATGTCACATGGAACCCAGCTTTGATGGAAAAGTTCAATTCCTGTACTGTTGTCTTGGAGCAATTTGGGCTGCAGAAGAGAGGCACAGTCTCTCCTTAAAATAATTTTGACTGGGTTTTTGGGTACAATCATAACACCTGGTGTGTGTTTTCTTAGGGGTAAATTTTTCTGATGACAAATCTGAAGTGTTGAGACAGGACAGGCAGAAGGGCTTAGCTCTCCGTTGCTTATTGCAGAGCCAGGAGAGCTGCAGTGCCTCTCAGTCAGTTTCCTATCTGCCCTGCACTTTCCCTTGGGCTGCCTTGAAGATGACTTCACACACAGATTCATCTTTAAAAACCCCACCAAGATCTGTGCTGAGAGCAGGGCAGCGCTGCTTGAAAGGGCAGCTCTGTGAAGTGTCCCCTGTGCCAGCTCAGAGGTGCAGCTGTGCTGGACAGAGCAGGACAGGAGCCCTCCCGCAGAGAAGCCAAGGGCTGGGACAGGAGAGTGTCCACCCCCAAGGGAAGGCTCAGCACTGCCCAGAATCCTGTGCTCTTTTCTGATCCTGCCTGAAATATTCATCTCTGAGAGTAAAAGAGTTTGAATTTCAGTGCAGCCTTCTGAACTGAGAGAACAATGTCTCTGCTATAATGCCTAAGCAGGAAACACACCTCAGGACTAATTCCTTTCCTGTAGCCCCTGTTTTTTGTGAGCTTTGCAAAAAAATTCTGCATTCAATATGGTGTAGTGGTCTGGAGCTGTGAGCAGGTCTGACCCTGTAACACTGAGACATGGAAAAGATCCTCCCTCAGCTGCCAGGTTTGCTCCTTGCCCACAGCCCTTCTGCCCCAGCCCTGGGAGCAGCTCCCTGGGCCGGCTGAGAGCTGCCCCTGGCAGGCAGCAGAGTCCCTGCCCAGCACAGCGCCCTGGGCTGCAGGACCCTGCTCTGCCCCACAGCCCTGGGCACCCCTGGCTGCACCCCCGGCTGCACCCCCGGCTTCACAGCACTTCCAAACTGCCCCAAAAGAGCCCCCTGCTCACCCATCCCATCAGCTGGGGCTGGGCCAGCTTTAGGAAATGCCTCCAGGAGCTGCCCCTGCACTGCCCTGCAGTCATAGACTCACCATGTGCAGCCCTGCCAAGATTCCTCCTGCAGGGAACTCTCAGGCATCCTGCCAGTGCTGAGCCCCCGGAAGCTCTGTCTGTGCCCTGCTGGTGTCCCTGAGCTGCCCTGGCAGTGCCCTCAGCCCTGCTGGGCTGTGCAGAGGAGCTGCTCACCAGCAGAGCTGTCTCTCTGCAGCGCTGCCCACTTGCCAGGAGCTCCCTGTGTGCCAGGAGCCCGGCCCAGCTCAGCAGCACAGCAACAGCAACAGGCATTTCATGACCCTCGGGGGGGTTGGAGGATGAGTCTCTGAATCTCAGACCTTTAGGACAGTTGCAGAAACCTTTTGAGAAGCCAAAGTTTGATTCAAACTCCAAAGTTTCTTGTAGTGTTAATGGGTCCCTCTGAGGGACCCAACTGAGAAAACATCCCCAGGACTGTGTAAGTACACAAACCTGGAAACAGGGATGAAAAGTCACAGAATCACGGAAACATAAAGGTTTGAAGAGGCCTTCAAGGTCTTCTAGTCCAACTGTCAACCCAGCATCACCATAATCACCTCTAAACCATATCCCAAAGTGCCACATCCAGATGCCATCTGAACACTTCCAGAGACACCATCACCTCCCTGGGCTACTTGTTCCAGTGCTTAAAAACTCTCTCAATGAAAAAAGAGGGTTTTCTAATATCTAATATGAACCTTTCCCAATGCAACTTAAGGGCATTTCCTCTCTTCCTGTCACTAAAGGCTTGGCAGAAGAGACCAAGCCCCACACCCACTAAAACCTCCTTTTGGGTCGTTGTAGAGAGCAATGAGGTGCTCCCTGAGCCTCCCCTTCTCCAGACTCAACAAGCCCAGTTCCCTCAGCCGTCCCTCAGCAGACATGTTTTCCAGAGCCTTCCCCAGCTCCGTTCCCTTCTCTGGACACGCTCCAGCCCCTCAAGGGCCTTTTTGCACTGAGGGGCCTGAACTGGACACAGCACTCGAGGTGGGGCCTCAGCAGTGCCCAGCACAGAGGGGCAATCAGTTCTCTGCTCCTGCTGGCCACACTCTTCTCCACAAAGGCCAGGATGCCCTTGGCCTTCTTGCCCCCCTGGGCACACTCTGGCTCATATCCAGCCACTGTCAAGCAGCACCCCCAAGTCCCTTCCTGCTGAGCAGCTCTCCAGCCCCTCTGCCTCCAGCCTGGAGTGTTCCAGGGGGTTGTTGGGACCCAAGTGCAGGCCCTGACACTTGGCCTTATTGATCCAGCCTGTCCAGATCACTCTGCAGAGCCTTCCTGCCCTCCAGCACATCCACAGTCAGACTCAGCTCAGTCAGTCTCCCAAACAGACCAAAGTCTGACCACCAGCAGTCCGAGGTGTCAGTTCTGCTGCCCCCTCCTTCCTTCACTCAGAAAGGAAAACTCCATCATTCTGGGGTCTCTGTGCCCGATGGCTCCGACCACCACATCCCCCACCAGTCACAGAATCATGGAATGGTTTGGGTTGGAAGGGACCTTAAAGAGCATCTTGTTCCAACCCCATGCCATGGACAAGGGACGCCGTCCACTACACCAGGTTTTTCAGAGCCCCATCCAACCTGGCCGTGAGCACTTCCAGGGATGAGGCAGGCAGAACTTCTCTGAGCAACCTGTGCCAGGATCTCACCACCCTCCCCATAAAAAATTTCTTCCTAATATCCCGTCTAACCCTTCCCTCTGTCAGTGTGAAGCCATTCCCCTTTTCCTGTCACTCCTGGACCTTGTAAATAATCTCTCTCCATCTTTCTTGTTGGCTCCCTTCAGGCACTGGAAGGCCACAATAAGGTCACCCCAAAGCCTTCTCATCTCCAGGCTGAACAATGCCAATTCTCTCAGCCTTTCCTCACAGCAGAGCTGCTCCATCCCTCTGATCCCCTTGGTGGTCTCCTTGGACTCGCTCCAACAGATCCATGTCCTTGCTATGCTGGAGCCCAGAGCTGGAGGCAGCTCTGCAGGTGGGGCAGCATTACAGCCACGCATGTTCCAGCAAGGACACTGTGGAACCTCATGGAACCAAGGACCATTGTGACACTGCAGGGCCTTCTGGAGCCAAAGGAGCCCTGGGACACTGGGCAATCTCATGGAATCAAGGCAGCACTGTCACCCTGGAAAAAATATTGGAATTCAGGGCCCATTGTGACACTGCAGGTCCCCATGGAACAAAAGGAACCCTGGGACACTGCAGAAACTCATGGAACCAAGGGACCATTGTGACACTGAGGGGGCTGATGGAATCAGGAGTCCATTGGGACAATCCAGGGCCTCATGAAATCAAAGGAATTCTGGGACACGGTCAAACCTCCTGGAACCAAGGGTTCCTGCTGACATGTGTGTCCTCCTGGAATCAAGGGAGCCCTGAGATATTTCTGAACCTCCCAGAATCCAGGGGCCATTGGGACCGTGCAGAACCTCCTGGATTCAAGTGGTCCTTGTGAAACTGCAGGATTACGTGGAACCCAAGGATTCCTGGAACACTGCAGAGCTCACGGAACCAAGGGGCCACTGTCCCACTGCAGCTCCTTCTGAAGCACAAGGGACCCTGGGACAATGGGAAGTGTCTGAGAATCCAAAGGGCATTTTGGGACTGCAGGGCCTCATGGAACTAAAGGAACCTTTGGAGACTGTGGAAGCTCATGGAATCCAGGGGCCATTGTGACATGTGGGGCCTCCTGGTAGCAAAGGAACCCTGAGAATTTTTGTGGGAAAAAATTAAGGCAGCAGCAGCTGCATTCAGTTAATCAGGATCCAAAAGGAGTGTTTTGGCCTTGACTGGTGTTTTCCATCAAGAGAGTGCTGTTTGCCAAAGTGGAAAACCACTTGGAATGCTCTGCATGGAAACCTGTGTTTTTCTCTGGTGGCTGAACACAGCCAGCACATGAGGGGAGGGGAATGTGTGGGATCAAGGCACTGCTTTGGGGCCATGCTGGGAATTCTGGTGGACTAAAAGACAAACACCGGTTGCTGCTCACAAGAGAAGAGGAATAAAAGGGGACATGGAAAAGTGTCAGCGGAAAAGTCCCAAAATGGAACTTTGAGTGTGCAGCCTCATTTTCTCCTAGGAGATGGGGCAAAAAGAAGGGATTGGGACCCCAAAACTGTTGGGGGGGGAAATTGGGGATCGAGGGGACAATGGGAAAGTGGGAGGAACAGGGTGGAAAAGGGGAGGTGGTCTGGTGGGTTTGAACCCCATGGGGGTCTTTGGGAACAGGGGGGCTGGCAAAGGGCGGTGGCCCCCCTGAGCTCCAAGCTTCCTGTGGGGTGCTGGGGGCTGCTGGATCCAATCTCAGGCTTGGATTATGACAGCAGTTTCAGTTTAGAGGAATTACAGAGGTGTGACTGAACCACTTTTGTCCCCCAGGCTTTAATGATGGCAAATCAGATCTACTGATAGAAATGAGTTATTTAGGATTCCAAATGATCAGACAGAAGATCTTCATCAGAATTATTTACTGCACAACAGAAACACTAAAACTAACAGGAGTACAGGATAAGATAGGACAGTGCTCTACAGTAAAGCAATTGTTGAAGCAATTCTACTAAAGCTGCCACAAAAACAATCATTCTTAATTAGAGATGTATGGAACTCCCCCAGACAACACTTGTGGGGAGATCTCTGCTCTCAACCTCCAGAACTGACCTTCGGGGGTCCCCAGCCAAGGCAGGAATCACCACACACCCCCCAAGAAGGGTTCTGTTGGAAGAAGCTGCCCCTGGGAAAGGGGACTGGCCCTTTGTGGTCGAAAGGATGGACTGACAGTCACTGGACTCCAGGGGTTGCCTCACCATCAGGGGGTTCATTCGGGGTGGAAGCAGTGGCCGAAGCTCTTCCCACAGTCGAGGCACTGGTAGGGCTTTCCTTACCGGTGGGTCCGTTGGTGTGAGGTCAAGGTAGAGCTCTGGGTGAAGCTCTTCCCACACTCCTCACACTTGTAGGGCCTCTCCCCGGTGTGGATGCTCCGGTGGGTGACAAGGGTGGAGTTCTGCTTGAAGCCCTTCCCGCAGTCGGTGCAGCGGAAGGGCCTCTCATCCGTGTGTGTCTGCTCATGCCTGAGGAGATCTGAGCTGGTCTGAAACCTCTTCCCACACTCCCCACACATGTAGGGCCGTTCCCCGGTGTGGATGCGCTGGTGGTTGTGGAGGTGGGAGCTGCTCCTGAAGCTCTTCCCACATTCCCTACACATGTAGGGCCGTTCCCCAGTGTGGCTGCGCTGGTGGAGGCGGAGGTTGGAGCTCTGCCTGAAGCTCTTCCCACATTCCCCACATGTATAGGGCCGTTCCCCAGTGTGGGTGTGCTGGTGTTGGATGAGGTCAGAGCTTTCCCTGAAGCTCTTCCCACATTCCCAACATGTGTAGCGCCGTTCCCCAGTGTGGATCATCTGGTGCCGGATAAGGTGGGAGCTCCGGCTGAAGCTCTTCCCACATTCCCCACACGTGTAGGGCCATTCCCCAGTGTGGATGTGCTGGTGGGTGAGGAGGTTGAAGCTCTTCCTGAAGCTCTTCCCGCATTCCAAGCACTCGAAGGGCTTCTCCTTGCTGGGAGGCTGCTCAGGGACCACCAGGTCACAGCTCTGCCTCAAGCTCAGGCCGCCTTCCTGGCACAAGCTAGGTCTTTCCTCCTCAGAGCACCCTGGGCTGGCTTTGGAGCCCCTCCTGCAGGGGGATCTCCGGGCCTTTTCCTCCCCGCTGCCTTCCTGCGCCGTGGAGCCCTTCAAAACAGCCTCTCCCACCAGGGTCTGCTGGGGGGATTTGTCTTCTGGGCTCTCCATCCTCCGCTCGGGGACTGGGGCAGGAAGCAAGAAAGACAGAGAGGGGATTTGCCTCCGGCCCACAGGGAAGGCCAAGGACATCCCCCCAACTCCGGCCCTGGCAGGACGGCGGCGGCAGCGGGGTTGTCCTGCAGCTGGGGGCCATGCTCGGCTGCCAGAGCCAGCACAACACCGGCCCAAAGGGCCACTGACTTCCTCCTCACCTGCCTGGGGGGCCCGCGGCATCTTCCTTTTCCTCACAGCCTTCTCCTCCATCCACCCAAGCTTTGGGAAGGAGAAATCCTGATGGAGGAGGGGAAAACAAGGGCTGAGCGCGTTGGCTTGGGGGTTCCTCCTGCCCAAGTCCATCTCTAGAACTCACCGGGCATCCTGTGTCCATAAAAACCTCCAAAACACCAAGATTCAGCCCAGAAAAACTCAAACCACTGAGATTCAGGCAAAAAAACCCTCAGAAAGTGCGAGATGAATCCTCTCTCAAACTGCAAAAAGTTAAGATTCAGCTAAAAAATACTCCAAAATATGAGGGTTACACCAAACTAATTCTCCCAGAAGTTCCCCCTCTCTGGTCTCTCTCCTCTAGAGTTCAGAGGGTCTGCCCTGTCTGGGATGCTGGGGGTCTCAGGGATGCTGGGAGTGTTGGGGGTCCCAAGGGTCCCTTCTCCTGTGACTCTCGCCTTCCGGGTGCCGCGTTCCCAGACATTCCCCCTCTCCAGGTTCTCCACTTTGTTGTCCCAGGGACCCCAGGGGTCCCTACTGCTCTACTGTGCTGCTCTGAACCAGCAGAGTATTTGGAGAACAGATGGTGGTAAAGTGTGGTCTGTGCCAAGTGTTTTAGGGCTCTTTGGCCCAAAGAAATGTCTGTGCCCTGAGAACATTGGATCCAGCAGCCCCCAGCACCCCACAGAAAGTTGGGAGCTCAGGGGGCCCCCTCCCTTTGCCAACCTCCCTGTGCCCAAAGACCCCCATGGGACTGTCGGACCCGCCAGACAACCCCCCCTTTTCCCTGTTCCTTCCACTTTTCCATGGTCCCCTCAATCACCAACCCCCCCCCGGATCACTTTTGGGGTCCCAACCCCCACTTTTTTTCCCCTCCCCCACCCCTTCCACATCATCCCTCCACTCCGCAGTCACCTCATGCTCAGTTTGAGGGTCCCACCCTCCCCTTTCCCCACTCTTCTGACCTCTCCCACCCCTTTCCCATCATCCCGCAAACCTCAGAGCCCCTCCCCCCTCCACTTTTAGGGGATCCCACTTCCCTCCCACTCAGTTTGGGTCCCACCACCCCTTTATCCCCTCTGACCCCCCTTTTCCCACCGACCTCTCTCTTCCCACCCCCCCCCTCACCCGAGAGCTCCTCGCCCGCAGCCGGGGGGGCTCCCAGCGCCACCAGTGCCCAGAGAAGTCCCCCCAGAAAGGGGGTTGGGTGGGGTCCTGGGTGGGCTCTGAATGTTTTTGGGGGTCCTTGGGGGGCTGTGGGTTAGGGTGTCCTGCTGCCGCCTCCCCGGCCCTGCGGAGACGAGAAGTGCCACAAAATCGCTCCGATTGACTAAGAAACCTTGACACAAGTGCTTTATCCCGTCACCTTCTCAGCTTATTCCTTCCCGCTCCCATCCCCCTTTGCTGCCTGTCTCTCTCCTCCCTGTGCCCATCAGTCACAGCTGCAGTTCTTCCCTCCATCGCAGTCTGGGAGCCCTTCTGAGGAGGTGCTCAAGGAGTTGGTGGTGCCGATCTCCCCCTGCTGCAATTCCTTTCCCCCAGTTATGGCTCAGTGTGCCTGACTTCCCTCCTGTGCCTCTGGGCCAGCCTGTTCCTTCCTCCTAGCATTGTCTTCTTTTTGCCGTCAGTGGGCAGCAAGGGGCCCTGGATGGTCCCTACAAACCCCCTGCCCTCAGTCCCTCCTGGAATGGCACATCTCTGAGCCTGTGTCACGGCACCAGCTGCTGCCAAGGGACGGCCCTGCTGCAGTTTGCACTTAAACCCAACAAACTGGGGCGGGGGGCAGCCCTGGAAACCAGGGCTTTGCTCCCTCGGCTCTGCAGGGGCTTCCCATGGGCTCTCAACCTCTTTTGGGCATCCCCTGCTCCGGCATGGGCTCTGCAGCAAAGCCCCAGCTCACCTGGCACACAGGGGATGGAGACAGCACCTTCTCGGGGATGGGCACCTTCATCTGTTCCCCACCACGGGCTCTGCTTCCTCAGCAGCACCTCTGCCTTGCACTTATTCTCAGATCACCTCAGGGACAGCTCTGGGCTCACCTCCGCATCACTTCTCAGGCTCACCTCAGGGCCTGGGCTCAAGGACAGGAACCTGCAGGGAGGGGACATGATGTGCAAGTTGAGGGCAGTGGCGGTCTGTAAAATAAAAGCTAGAAACGATCCCAGTTTGGGGAAACTGGAATACTTTATTGGGCACGAGAACACAAAGGCATCACTGGCTGGACATGTTAATGAAGGGGACTGGCTATGTTAATTGGGGAGCTGCACAAACTTTTGCTGTAGTTTCCAAATAGTTAATTTTTCTTCTAGTAGGATTACATGGGGGATAGAGGGATTACAGGGGTTTAGACATGATTTTAACAATCATCTCAAAAAGTCCTTTCTTAATTCTTCTTGGAGCCAGGTTTATATCTCCGGGTTGCACATTAGCAGGTCTCAGGACAGGGGTCCAAACTTCTTGAATCACGAGGTGTTTGCCAGCCTTGTTTTCCAAGGTTTGTGATTCAGCTTCACCGAGCCTCCTTTTGCTGAGAGCTGGCTTTTGTCCCCTTCAGAGGGCTGCCTGCTTGGATTGGGGCTGTGGGCTTCTTTCTTCTTCTAGAACCGTCCCAGAACTTATCCTGCTTTTCTAACACCACACATTTACAGACTAACCCTGGAGATATATATGGACAGACATCTCTATCACCCTGGGGATAGAGCCTCAAGCAGGTGCTGCCATAGGAATGGCAATCAGAGAATCACAGAATCAGCCCCGTTGGAAAAGACCTCTGAGATCATCAAGTCCAACCCTGGATCCAACCCCGCCGTGCTTCCCAGACCATGGCACTGAGGCCACATCCACTCGCACCTTCAACACCTCCAAGGACGCTGACTCCACCCCCTCCCTGCCCAGCCCATTCCAAGGCCTGATTACTCTCTCGGCAAAAAATTACTTCCTCATATCCAACCTAAACCTCCCCTGGCACAGCTCAAGACCCAGCCCTCTTGTCCTACTGCTGCTTCCTGGCACAAGAGCCCCACCCCCAGGGACTTGCAGAGAGTCAGGAGGTCTCCCCTGAGCCTCCTCTTCTCCAGCCTCAACAACCCCAGCTCCCACAGCCTCTCCTCACACCACTTGTGCTCCACTCCCTTCCCCAGCCTTCCTGCTCTTCTCTGCACCTGCTCCAGCCCCTCCATGGCCTTCCTCAACTCAGGGGCCCAGAGCTGGACACAGCACTCCAGGGGTGGCCTCACCAGCGCTCAGTCCAGCCCAACAATCACTTCCCTGCTCCTGCTGCCACACTCTTCCTCAGCCAGGACACCATCCATTGGCCCTCTTGGCCACCTAGACACACTCTGGCTCTTCTTCAGCTTCCTGGCAATCCACACTCCCAGCTCCCTTTCTGCCTGCCTGCTCTCCAGCCACTCTGGCCCCAGCCCGGGGGGCTGACGGGGCTTCTTGTGGCCAAAGGGCAGGACCCGGCCCTTGGCCTGCTTGAACCTCATCCCCTTGCAATCAGCCCATGGATCCAGCTTGGCCAGGTCCCTCTGCAGAGCCCTCCTGCCTTCCAGCACATCAACACACCCCCCAGCTTGGTGTCAGCTGGACATTTGCTGATGAAATGCCTGGTTCTGCAGGAGCTGCAGATGCTCAAGGGGCAGCAGGACCAAGTCAGGGGCCTGGGGGGGCTTGGGAGCTTTCAGGTCCCTGAGAATGCTGGGGGAGCTGGGGAGGGGCTTTGGGGATTGGGGGTACAGACCAGTACAAACCAGGACAGACCACTAAAGACCAGTACCTCCTCACTACTCCCCAGATCTCTCCTGGAGCTGGGACACGTTGTCGTGGGACACCTGAGCCCCCCCCAGTGCCCTCCCAGTACAGCCCAGTGCCCCCAGTACAGCCCACTGTGTTCCTGTCCCAGAGTGCCGGATGATACCTCTTTGTGGGGGGTTGGAAGGGATTTGAGGGGGAGGTTGGGGGAGATTTGGAGGGATCTGGGAGGGGTTGGATGGGGATTTGGGGGGTTTGGGGGGTCTTTGGGAGTATTTGGGGGAGTTAAAACAGGTTTTGGGGGCATTGGGGCATCAAAGGGATCTGTGGGAGGAGGGGATTAAAGGGAAAATGGAGGTTAGGGGACATTTGGGGGGAGTTAAAGGGGCCTGGGAGGGGGAGCTGCACCATGAGCAGGTGAGTCCTGAGATCCCCCTGGTGTCCCCAAGACCCTCTCGGTGTCCCCAGTTCCCCCCTTGACACCTCAGGGCAACCCTGGTGTCTCCAGCATCCCCAGGGCCTCCTCATAGCCCCAATTCCCCCCTTGACATCCCCAATTCCACTGTCCACAAACCCCTCCCCACTGTCCCCACTGTCCACAAACCCCATCCCTGATGTCCCCAACCCTCCATCTCACCCCAGGAGTCCCCCCTGGACCCTCTGACCCGAAAAAACGACCACCCCCCACTCACAGAAAGGCCAAAGGCATCTGGGGACACTGGGGACAGTTGGGGGGCTTTGTGGAGCACTGGGTGATTACTGGGGATACTGGGACACACTGGGGGGAACCAGGGGGCACTGAGAGGGACTGGGGGGTTCCTGAGGGACACGGGGAGGGCACTGGGAGGGACTGGAGATTAACTGGGGCACACTGGGGGACACTGGCAGAGAACTGGGGAGTTACTGGGGGATTACCAGGACACATGGGGGGACACTCAGAAGTTATTGGGCCATACTGGGGGTTACTGGCTGCTCACTGGAGGATAACTGGGCCATATTGGGGGGCAGTGGGAGGTCACTGGGACACACTGGGTGGTCACTGAGGGGGTTACTGGGCCGTACTGAGAATCACTAGAAGGTCATTGGGATATACTGGGGGCACTGGGATCCCCTTACCCGGATGTGGTACAGCTCCCCCCCACCCCGGATTTTGGGGGGGCATCACTAGGACCACTTGGGGCTGGGAGACCCCCTGAACTCCACTGCTGGGCTTTAGGGGACTCCCCAAAATCCCCTCACAACTCCTGAAATCCCCCCATCGACCCATCGAAACCTCCTCAAGGTCT